ACCTATGGAACTGTGAGGTAATAAACAAGTGTTGTAAGTCAGCCAGTTTGTAGTGATTTATGAAGCGATAATAGAAATCACTGAAGGACTGACCTTCATCTATCTGTTCCAAATCTTATTTTGACCATGTCAAGAGAGGCATTCTAGACTGGTGGTGAAACTCATACACCACAGACAGGCAGACCTGAATTCTTTTTTCTTTTTCTTTCTTTTTTTGGTCAGTCGTGGGGCCTGAGCGCTGTCCCTCAGCTCTTCAGCTCAAGGCTAGCACTCTACCACTTGAGCCACAGCACCACTTCTGGCTTTTTCTGCTTATGTGGTGCTGAGGAATCGAACCCAGGGCCTCAGGCATGCAAGGCAAGTGCTCTACCACTGAGCCACCTTCCCAGCCCAATGAGTCCATTTCTTTTTTTTTTTTTTTTTTGTCGGGTCGTGGGGCTTGAACTCTGGGCTTGGGCGCTATCCCTCAGCTCTTCAGCTCAAGGCGAGCGCTCTACCACTTGAGCTACAGCGCCACTTCCGGTTTTCTGGTGGTTTATTGGAGATAGGAGTCTCACCTGTCTCTCCTGCCCGGGCTAGCTTTGAACCATGATCCTCAGATCTCAGCCTCCTGAGTAGCTAGGATTACAGGCGTGAGCCCCCAGCTTTCTTGTATGAACTCAGTTAAATAATCACAGGACAAAGTCCCCATATATTCATTTACCCATTACCAAATGTTTTTCCCTATTTCATTGCATACTCCTATTGCTTTTCCTCTCCCCTTTCCCGCCACTGCTGTCTTTTTTTCTGGTGCTATTTCTTCCTCTCCTCCATTACAAACCAGGGATCTAACTATGAGTAGCATTTCCACAAGCAAACTTTGTTGAACAGCCACCCCATGCACTGTGGTTAGCCCTTAGGAGGCAGAAACAGAGGCCCAGAAAACTTCTGGGCACTTGAGTTCATATGAGGCACTGATCCTTATGATACCTTCACCTTTCCCCTCACTTGTGTGGATAGAGAACTCCTATGTCCTGCGTGTCCAAGAATGTGGCTTGGGTTCCAAGTGGATTTCAGACTTAGCTACAATTTGAACAAGGTGATGCTTGAGCCACAGAACTCAGAGCTAGGAAACTCTAGGATCTGGTCTGTTTACATATTTCCAGTGATGGGGAAATCATGTGCTCAAACAACCTAATTAATGGATGGGCAACCTTAGGTCTTATTTCCATTGCTCCACTGTCCTAGCCCTGCCATTCAAATCACAGCCATTGCTATCTCCCTTCAGAGGCTGGCGACCATGATGGCTGTCCCCGGGGCTCTCTTCCCCTTTTGAGACTGGCAGCTAAGACCAGAGGAAGCCTACTATAAGTTGGGAAGTACTTCTCCTCTTCAGTACTTTAGGTTCTAGGATGGCAGACTAGGCCAATCTCATTTGTGAGCTGTCATGTAGTTGTCTCCCATTGTCAATCTACCAAACACTAAGGGCATCTCCTGTGCCAGGGACTGTGAGTGCAAAGGCAAAGAAGACTCAGTTCCTTGTCGACAAAGCAGAACAGCTGTGTTTCCAGTATCTGCTATACCCACTCATTTCAGTAAGATGGTTCCCAAAGAATCAATATCGCATCACCTGAAACTTCCTAAGAAAGACAAATTGTGGACTGGGTTCCCAGATTCACTGAAACACTGTGTGAGCCCAGCTATCTGGGTTTAATGAGGCCATCAGGTGAAGCGGATACTGTTTAACCCTTGAGAACCACTGGTTTTAGTTTCACCTGAAGAGACTTTAAACTCAAATTTCTAGAGGGAGGCCTGAGGCATTTTTTTTTGTGTCTTAAGTCTGGTTTCAAATACATACTCCGTGTAAATGCCCAGTACCCATGAATAAAGTCCTGTCCCACAGTATCACAGTGGTGGTAGAGTATCATACAATAATTTCTTTGCCTTTCTAGGCCCTTAATGGGCCTGCTGACACTGGGGTAAGAACAGAAAGAAGACAGTAGGGTTCCAGGCTGAGTTCTGGTAACAACTGTCAGAGCTTCAAGGACACTCCTTCCACTATGTAAAAGTTTCTTAAGAGATATCGCGTACATGAGTGTAAGGCAAGCACTCAAGAAGCTGAGGCAGGAGGATCATGAGTGTAACCCTGGCCTGGACTACACTGTAAGCGCCTATCTCAAAAAAAGAAAAGTTACTAAGAATCTAATGTTGGGCACTGGTGGTTCACACCTATAATCTTAACTACTCAGGATAGAGGTTCAAAGTCAGCTGGAACAGAGAAGTCTGTGAGACTTTCTCCAATTAGCTGGCAAAAAGCCAGAAGTGGAGCTGTAGCTCAAGTGGTAGAGTGCCAGTCCTGAGCAAAAAAGCCAAGTGAAAGTATAAGTACCTACACATCCAAGCACCAGTACCAGAAAAAAAGAAAAAAAAAAGTCTGCTCCAGTTTCAGGGTGGGAAGGAAGAGTAACAGGGGATGACTATCATAGAAGTAGATTACACACATAAAAACTGCATGATGAAACCACTAAAATTCTTAATAGGCCAGATGTGGTAGTGCACACCTATGATCTCAGCTTTGCTAGAGGCTGTAGATCGAAGGATCTCAGTACCAGGGCAGCTGGGCAAAATGCAAGACTCATGAAAAATAAAGCAAAAAGGACTCAAGTGGAAGAGCACCTGCTTAACGAATGCAAGGTCCTGAGTTCAAACTCTAGTACTCTAGGGGATGGGAGAGAGAGAGAAGAAAAGCTGAAAGAATCTCACTTTCCAAGTTCAATATAGTTGCTGTCAAAGTGCTGATGATAAAACATAATTTTTTTGGGTCCATTGTGGGGTTTGAATTCAGTGCCTGGCACTGTCCCTGAGCTTCTTTGTGCTCAAGGCTAGCACTCTACTACTTGACCCACAGCACCATTTCTGGTTTTTTAGTGGTTAACTGGAGATAAGAGGCTCAAAGGGACTTTTCTGCCTGATTTAGCTTCAAATGACAATCCTCAGATCTCAGCCTCCTGAGTAGCTAAGATAATAGTCGTGAGCCACCAGCAACCGGCTGTAATATAATCTGACAAAGAGAAATGCTAAGTGGTTTCAATCTGTAGCATGAACTAGAAACCTGACTCTATAAAACAGATTTTCCATGTCCTAACACAGTAATACTGAAATAAAGATGCAATAGGTTAAAAAATCCATCAACAAAGATTGAACACAGATTGTAGATGAATGAGATTTTTGTCAAAACATTGTTTTCTGGTCCTGATGTTTCTTTTTCCTTCTGAATTAGTCACATTTTACACCTTTCTATGAATTGTGTGTTGGAAGCTGACGGAAGACAATGATGTCTAAAATCATGGTGTCCAAAATCCATCTCACCTTCTATTAAGTCATCCATGCAAAAGGAAAATCATTCTTTCAATTGTTGAAAATATAACATGACATTGAAAGTTTGTCCACATTAAAAGCATGTACTGAAATACAACACAGGTAAGAGACCACTAGACTTGGAGTTTGTCTAGTGACCTTGTTGAACACAATGGTTATGTATTCATTGATCGTGTATCCCTAATGTCTCAAACATATTTTGAATGGCCAGGTTTTTTTTAACATGAACATTTTGTTGCTATTGTCATCCTTTGATCTGATGACACACACAATGCTCAAGAAGGTGTGAATGATCTGCAACCAAGGTCAGGGAGTCTGCATTTCTGAGCTGATTTGCTAGTGGCTAGCTACCTAAATTAAGATGGCAGACCCTGGCATGAATGTGAATAGACTGTAACATCACTTCCTATGTGTATACAGCAATTATTTAATCAATTAGCCATGTGGATGGTCACATAAAACAATGACAACTGCTTTCTTACACACTTATACGTATCCATAAAATTACTCAAAACACAAACTGAAGATAAATGCAGATCGGTGGTATTAAGTCACATTCCTGAAACCATTTAATCAATGAAGTACTCATGAAGAGGAGTGGGAATGTGGCCTATGATTACTAAGACTTCTGGGTACATTAAACAACCATATTTGGCAGGAGCCATAACTAGATGAATACTTATTCAGCCTTGACAAGAGCCATCACTTAGGAAGTAGAACTGGACAGAATCATGTGTCCATACAAATGACAGAGACATGTCATTATGCCCAGCTGTTGATTGAAAAAGAGCCTCAAAACTTTTCTGCCTACACGGGCATCAAGCCACAATACCAATCTCAGTCTTCTGAATAGCTAGAATTACCAGTGTGAGCTACAGCGCCAGCCTGGCCTTTTGCTGGCTGCTTTGGAAATGAGTCTTACGGACTTTTCTGCCTCAACTAGCTGACCATAATCCTACAGATCCAGCCTTCTGAGTAGCTAGTATTATTATAGGCATAAGCCACTGGTGCCCAGCTTGAGATTTGTGTATGTATGTATGTATGTGCATGTCCTGGGGCTTTTACTCAGAGCCTAGGCACTGTCCCTGAGGGTTTTTTTTGTTGTTTTTTGTTTGTTTGTTTTTTGCTAAAAGTTAGTGCTCTACCACTTGAGCCATAGCTCCACTTCTGGCTGTTTTGTTGTGTGTGTTTGTGTGTGGGGGCTTAATTGGAGATAAGAGTTTCATGGACTTTCCTGCTCATGCTGGCTTCAAACTGTGACCCTCAGATCTGTCTCCTAGGTAGCTAGGATCATAGGCATGAGCCATGGGCGCACTGCTTGAGAGATAATTTTTAAAGGAAGAATGGATGTAAGAGAAAATTCCTTTGTACTTGATAACCATTTAAAAACTGTGTAAATTTCAGCATTTCAATGTGGTGCCTCCCCCCCCAAAAGAAAGGAAAAGAAAAGTAGCCAGGAAGAATATCAAACATTTAGAAGATATATTTATTACTTTTTTCTGACCAAAGTGCAATGATTTTTAAATCTTTTTAAACAAATAACTATGAAAAAGGTTTTCCAGAAAATAAAATACAAATAGGAAATGTAACCATCTGATCACCATTTCTAATTTAATCTACCTCTATTATTTAGTCTAGAAAACAAAACAAACAACAAAAAAAAACCCTTAAAATGAGAACAGAATCATTTTAACATAAATCTAGCACATGCATTTCAAGGTTTCATTGTGAATAATTTTGTTAAAATGAATAACACCATTGATAGAGCTTAAGGAACACGAGTCATTAGATGTGATCCTTGCCCCACACCCTCGGAATTTGTCAGAATAAGGCTGACAATTTTGTCAGGCTCTGAACCCCTGTGCCCTCAACCCAAACCTCAGAAGCAAAGACTATGTATGCCCTGTCATACAACTTTGTACAAGTCATAATAAATCAAAGCCTAAATTTTCTTTGTATAGGCGATGGTCAGTTACTTGATAAACATTAAAGCACTGCTAGAAATCCATTTTTATGACTTTGTGTACTGAAGACCTTGAGCAAGAACTGGCTTCCCAGAAAATTCCTTTGAAATTTGGTCCACAAATTTGCTTAACAGGTTTCAAATTTAAAACCTGTAAGAAAAAGAGGAAGTGGGAATCCCTAATCCTAACATGGTATAGTATTACAAGGGACAAACATGCACACTAAAATATTTTGCTCACAGAAGGCACGAACTATAAAAGGGATAGTCTTTTCAATAAAAACAAGGAACTAGCTGATACCCTTCTTTGTTTGGTGAGCACCATAATAACTACGATGAAGTTAAACCTGAATTCAGTCTATTGTTGTGACAAAATTTAAAAAAAAAATTTAAAAATCTGTCTTACTATAGATTTTCTAGCATTGAGATGTAATTTTTAAACACTAAAATTGCCTTAAAAAGGGGTTGTAGTAGCAGCTATCAAAGCAATATTCAAGCATGATTTCAAGGATGCTATAGGGTTTGAATTTAGCCTTCTTTGTCAAAAATCTTCACCACATCATCAAAAACCTGCAAAGAAGACAAAAATAATATTTTTTAAAGCAAATACTCTTTAAAACACTATACCTGAGTCTAATTTCCAGCAACAAAGATAAGAACCAACACAAAAAATCTACCAAGTAGCTAAGTATGTACTAAAATAGTCAATTTTAACTATTACGAACTTGGATCACAGGCTGGGTGCTAGTGGTTCATACCCAGCTACTTAGAAGGCTAATAAGATCAGAGGACTGCAGGTCAGAGAAAGCCTGGGCAGAAAAGCCCAGGAGGGTCTTATCTCCAATTAGCCACCCAAAAAGCTGGAAATGGAGCTATGATTCAAGTGATACAGTGCTAGCTATGAAAACCTCAGGGACAGCGCCTAGGCACTGAGCTCAAGTCCCAGGACCAGCACAAAACAACAAAATACATTATAATGTCTTAGCTTCACCTATTTCACTTTCAACATAACACAAATGAGATGACAAACATGTGTCATTCAACTTTATTATTATTATTATTGTCATTCAACTTTATTATTATTTATTATTATTGCTTTTCCAATAAAACATACTTCTCTATAAACTACTAATAATCTGTAAAATGTATCTGGAATAGCTCTTTTAGTTCTGATCTTGAACCCACAGTTTTCTCATGTATTACTTCACCTCTAGAGAGGCAATGGATAAAAAGAACTTCCTGGATGTTCTTCCTCAGAACCTTTTTTTTTTTGTAAGAGGAAGAAGATTCAAGAATCTTGAAGAGGAAGAAGGAGATTAGGTCAATTAAGACACACTAGAAATCTTTCTAGGCACAGTGGACTCAAACCATAATTTAGAGATGGCTGATTTGTGAAAAGAAAAGCTAAGAAATTGTGGAAACATGTACCTCTGAAGCGACTTGTCTATGAAAAAGGAAGTAACCTGTGCTCTTGAGCTAGGAAATCTGGCAAAAAGTAAGCTGTTCCTTGTCCCTGAGATGATGGTGACCCTTGATTCCATTCCCTGTCAACATCTGGATTTCCTGTCATAACCTCTCTCCACCTATAGGTAAGAATGAAGTTTTGTCTAGGACTCTGAACATTATGAACAACCTTTAAAAAAAAAATCCTACAGTGGCTTAGTCTCTAGTTTGTCAGTCATTGTGTCAGCCATTCCTATCTCAGCTGTAAATTTCAAGTAAACCCAGACTAGATTCCTGCCAGAGTCTGTTCTTTGTTCTACTCTTGGATTCTGTATCATCTTGAAATTAAACCAATTCATTTAAAAGAAAATGAACATGTGGGGTTGGGGGTATGGCTCAGTTAGTATAGCACTAGCCAAGAACAAGTGTCAGGTACTGAATTGAAGTCTTGGTCTCAGACCAAAAAAAAACCCCAAAAAACAAAAGAACAACATATTCCAAATAATGATATCCAAGATTTAGGAAAGAAGTTTGGAATTAATGACCATCTACTTCTCATGAAAAACAAGTCTAAAGTTGTAAAACCTGTACTGCACCTATTCAAAAAGGAAAAAAAAATCCTAATTTCACATTTAGTCTCAACTGTTTCAAAAACAAACTTACCTGTCATAGTATTTATTTTTCTTATAATACTTCAAAAGAAACACTTACATTTTTACTTGATTATTTTTTATTCAGAGCCAAGCCAAGAACACTTACTTCATCCACCGATTTAGAAGCATCTATTTTCTTAACTTTCCCCATTTCCTCATATAGATCAATAATTGGTTTTGTTGACTGAAGATAAGTCTGAATTCTGCAAAAGGAGCAAAACACCTGCTAGGTTCTACAGATGGATGGCCCCGCGCCCCCCCTCCCCCCCTTCCCATACATGATGCTCAGAGGGCAGCAGACTCCCACCTGACTCCTTCATCATGTCCTTACACAAGCCACTGTACCTAGATAAGCACAACCTGTTCTTTCTCTGGACCAAAGTAGGACAGGAATTTCATCTATCACTTCAGTTCTGCACTGAGACTAAGGTAGCTTAAACAAAAAAACAGGAAGTACCTCTTTTCCAAGCTCTCTCTGTTGTCATCACTCCTACCACTACTTTTCCCTCTCTCAAGGCACCGTTCAATACAGATCTACAGGAAGATATAAAGTTAGGTTAGAAAACAAAGGCATTAATTTACCATTCCTTTTACCTAAAAAGAAAATAAAATTTGAAGATTCAACAACAACAACAAAAACAAAAACTCACATTCAACCCAATGTGTTTAACTCATTAATCAACATGCAAAATCTTTCTCAATTTAAACATGTGGTTCAATTTATATAAACTAGGTTAAATAAGTACAGAGCATAGTAAGAATTCATTCATGACTCAGTTTTTCCTCTGTGTGTGTGTGTTTTCAAACTGCAATAAAAAGAAAATCTGTATGTGTATGGTCTCATCTTAGATATTTTATTAACTTATTACATATGAATTACATGCTCAAATTTTGTGCCATTTTTGCTTACTTGATAATTCCATAAATATCCAAATATTTGAGTCAACATATTTGAATAAAGCATCTCTTGTTAATCGTGAATAAACATTCCTTACTTATAAAGCTGCGGTAACACTCTTAAGTTAACTTTGAAGGGTAAGTGGAAACATATTTTTAGGGTTGGAAGAAGAGAGTTACATTTTAAAGTAACTCAGCACTGCAGAAAGTCTCTACTAGAGGCACATTTGTAATTCAATCTAAGAATAGCCAACTTCCTTCAAGGCACTACTTCAAATTCTTATTTTTTCAGACTGTTGGCATTAATTTAATGAAGTTTATATCACAGCCACTGACAAGCAGAGTTAGGCCTTTTAATTAAATGGTTCTAAGAAATTTATTTATTAGTTTTTCAAAGGTATGTCTGGGTATGTTATTAGGAGTACAACAAGGGGAGGGTTGAAATGACTTTTTTTGTTGTTGTTGTTGGTTGTGGGGCTTGAACTCCGGGCTTGGGTGCTATCCCTCAGCTCTTCAGCTCAAGGTGAGTACTCTACCACTTGAGCTCAGAACTACTTCTGATTTTCTAGTGGTTTATTGGAGATAAATGTCTCAAGGACTTTCCTGCCCAGGCTGGCTTTGAACCATGATCCTCAGATCTCAGCCTCCTGAGTAGCTAGGATTATAGGCAGCCCCACTGGCGGCCCAGCTCAATGACCCTTTCTTATTTTTTGTTTGCCAGTAATGCTGTACTGGGGCTTTTCACTTTCAACTTTCTTGCTTACAGCTGGCATATTACCACTTGAGTCACAATTGTAGTCCAGCCTTTTGCTGGTTAATAGATGATGGAATCTTGCAGATTTTTCTGCACAGGCTGGCTTCAAACTTAAATCTTCCAGGTCGGGGAGCCTCCTGAGTAGCTACAATTACAGGCATGAGTCACAAGCATCTGGCTTTTTTTTGTAAGTTTATTTCATTCTTAGAAGATAACCCAAGCTATCCTATATGTCCCTTTAAAATATAATGCCTCCTGCTGAGTGCTGGTGGCTCATGTCTGTAATCTTAGCTACTCAAGAGGCTGAGATCTAAGGATCGAGGTTTGAATCCAGCTTGGACAGGAAAGTTTGTGAGACCCCCTACCTCCACTAAATTACCAAAAAAACTGGAAGTGGAGCTGTACTCTAGTGGTAAAGCACCAGCCTAGAGCAAAAAGAAGGCCAGGGACAGAACCTAGGTTCAAGCCCCAGAATTGACATCAAAAAAAAAGAGAAGAACCTCCTCAATTTTCCAAAAACACGTTTCTTTGCCAGTAAGCAACATGTTCTCTGAAAACAATGCACACTTAATTAAGTAGTAGTTCAACTTTATTATTTAACATTATTGTACATGTCAATTCTTTTAAAAAAAAACTTAATTTTTGTTATTTTAAAATAACAAGACTTGGAGGGGCTGGGAAAGTAGCTCAGTGATAGAGTGCTTGCCTCGCATGCATGAGGCCCTGGGTTTGATTCCTCAGCACCACATAAGCAGAAAAAGCTAGAAGTAGAGCTGTGGCTCAAGTGGTAGAGTACTAGCCTTGAGCTGAAGAGCTGAGGGACAGAGCCCAGGCCTAAAGTTCAGGCCCCATGACCGACAAAACACAAGACTAAAGCAAATTTTATGTTGCTAAAGCTTCTGGTGCCAAATAGCTGTTAATACTTCAACAGCACAGCACTGCTTTTGTTTACCCAATCTACTAATTTAAAAAAGTGCTACCTAGAGAAAATGTACATATAAGTAAACATCCTTTTGTTTTTTTCTAATTGTTGACCATCAGTTGCTTAAAGCCCAGATGGGCAGATGAAGATTTTCATTACCTCATTATTACAGTCGAAAAATAAAACAAAAGATACATCTGCCTTTCCATCCATGGTCTTGTTCCAACCTTGAAGATTGTCTTGATTTCTTGGAAACCCATCAATCAAGAATTTATTCTTCTGAGCATTGGCAGCCATTGTTTGATCCATTTCCTAAAGAAAAAAGGTGGTTAAGTTTTAATATTACATTAAGGAAGTATGATTTCTTAAGCAGTAGTTTACTGCTATTACTCTGTGAACTATAAATAAGGTACATGCCTATTACTCCAGCTGTCCTCCTACCTCCAGCTGGTAGGAGGATCACAGTCTGAGGCCAGTCCTGGGCAAAAATGTAAGACGCTATCTGAAACATCACTCAGGGTTCGGAGCATGGCTAAAGTGGTAGCTTTCCTGTCCAGCAAGCATGAGGTCTTGAGTTCAAGCTCCAGTTTCACCAAAAACAGTAACAACAAAAGCACACATAAAGAACTGAGTGAAGCGAGCCCAAGGCTTTGAGTTCAAGCCCCAGTACCAGTACCAAAAAATAAACCAATTGGAAATGAACCATTGTTTCAATATAACTGCCTCAGATGGCTGAGCTACATTTTGTGTTCCCACACCGCCCCTCCCCACTTTCCACATTCTAGAAAGTAAGCATATCTTACAGGATGTTGAGTCTCCCTCAAGGGTCCATGTGTTAAAAGCCTGGCATATAGGGTGACATTGTTGGAAGGAGTCTTTCAGACTCCTTAGGTCATTGGGGGATACACTCCTGAAGGGGACTGTGGGACCCTGGCTTCTTTGTTTCAAATTGTTTGCTTCCTAGCCATGAAGTGAGCAGTTTGCTCCTATGTGCTCCCCACCAATATCATCCAGCATCCCTACCATAGGCCCAAAACAATGTAGCCCTGTGATCTCACACTGGAACTCCAAAACTACAAGGCAAAAACACACATTTTCTTTTTATAAGATAACCATCTCTTCTGCTACTTAAGCCACACCCCAGTCCTTTTGCTGATTTGTTTAGGTAGATTCTTATACTTTACCCTGTCTACCAGGGACAGCAATCCTCCCATTGGTACTTCCTGTATAGCGGAGTATAGGTGTGTACCATTATACATGTTCTGTCCTCTGCTTTTATAAGTATTATTCAACCTGATTAGAATAAAAGTCATGTTCAGAATCTTTATAATAAATAATTCTAGCCAGGCGCCGGTGGCTGAGATCTGAAGATCACAGTTCAAAGCCAGCCAAGGCAGGGAAGTCTGTGAGACTCTTATCTTCAATTAACCACCAGAAAACCAGAAGTGGCATTGTGGGTCAAGTAGTAGAGTGTTAGCCTTGAGCTGAAGAGCTTAGGGACAGGTCCCAGAGCTCAAGCCCCATGACCTACCAAAAAAAAAAAAAGACAAAGATAATAAATAATTCTAATTGGTATCTTTTCCTGCATAAGAAAAAAAAGATAATCATCTCGTGCATTTTGTTATATTGATAGAAAACCAACTAACACTTTACTTTCATAAATATTATGTTCACATATAGATTACTTTCACATATACATTTAAAATTGTAAATAATTTTGATAGCAAGAATTGGAAAATAATCATTCACCAAGATCTATGCTCTGGTTGTCTAGAGACTCTGTCTTGCCTTCCTTTTTTTTCCTAATCATTCTACTTTTGTAAGAGGTATGCTGCCTCTTTCCCCCACTCTCTCTTCTCTCTCTCTTGCTCTTTCCTCTGTCTCTGTCTCCTTTCTCTCTCTCTCTCCTTCCCTGCTTTCCTTCCTTCTTTTTTTTTTTTTGGTGCCAGTACTAGGGCTTGAACTCAGGGCCTCATGTTCTCTCTCAGCCTTCTGAGTAGCTAGGATTATAGGTATCAACTACCAGTACCCAGCCCTCACTTAGCTTTTTCACTCAATGCTGTCACCCTACCACCTAAACTACACTTCCACTTCCAGCTTTTTTCTGGTTAATAGCAAACAATAGTCTTTTCAATTTGCCTGCTTAGCCTGGCTTCAAACTTTGATCCTAGATCTCAGCCAACTGAGTAGCTAGGATTACAGGCACGAGCTACCAGCATCAACCTTTTTCTTTTTCTTTTTTTTGCCCATCCTAGGGCTTGAACTCACGGCCTGGGCATGGTCCCTCAGCCTCTTCATGTTCAAGGCTAGCATTCTACTACTTGAGCCACAGCGCCACTTCAAGCTTTTTCTCAGTAGTTTGTTAGAGATAAAAGTCTCACAAACTGCCTGGGCTGGCTCTGAACCATGATCCTCAGCTCCCAGCCTCCTGAGTAGCTAGGATTAAAGGAGTGAGCCACTAGTGCCTGACTCAGCTTTTTCTTTTCTTAAGACAGCATCTTATCATAGGTTCAAGCTTGCTTAGAACTTATTGTATAGCTCAGACTGACTCAAACTCTGGATACTTCTGCCTCATCTTCCCAAGTGTTGAGATTATAGGTGTGTACCACAACTGATTGAACGTATACTGACTCTACAGGTGCTTGTTTTTGTTATAATTTAAGTCAAATAACAAGTCTTTGAACAAAATTCAAATTCTTGTTATAATAATAATCCTCAAGTGGATTGGACAAAAACTCAAATTCTTTATAAATTAGTAATACTTGGTGGGTTTTATTTTTTTTATAACCTGAAGCTAATTACATCTAAATGTCACTGGCTGCCCCAAAACCCAAGTAGAAATAGAAAGGAAACAATACATTCAGAAAGATGGCAAGAAACTACATTCAGGAAGCCTGAATTTGAACATAGGAATGTGTAAATGTAGATACAGATATCCAGTCTCCAAAAGCTGGCCACTTACAGTTACCACAGAAAAAGACTGTGACAAGCTTTAGATTAGGCCTCTCGTCTGAAGCAAACTGACATTTGTTACCCTTCATCTCAAACTTCCCTTGCTCCTCAAAAACAACCATGACTGCCTAGACTTCTGATTCCTTTATCTAATCATTGGTTTTATCTCAGCATGTGGCTTCTTCTCCAATATTTATAAAATGTAAAAATAATTTTTTTGGACTTTTCTGCTGAAGCATTTATACTGTGGAAGATATCTGAAAAAGGCACAACAATTGAGCCTTATAATCAGGGAATGTGAAATGCAAGGTCATTATTCTTGCCCTTGGAGGGCTCCCAGTCTAGTGGGTAACAGATATAAATGTAAGTTCTAAGATAAGGTATGCAAAGAAAGCTATGATAAAAGTAAAGCCAGGCTGCAGTTGCTTACACCTGTAATCCTACCTACTCATGAGGCTGAGATCTGAGGATCATGGTTTGAAGCAAGCCTAGGCAAGGAAAATCATGAGACTCTTACCTCCAATAACTACCAAAAAGCTAGAAGTGGAGTACTAGCCTTGAGGGAAAAAGCCAAAGGACACTACGTAGTACCTGAGTCCAAGGCCCAGAACCAGGACAAAAAAAGAGAGAGAGACTGAAAAAGAACAGTTGTTAAAGTGAACAAAAACGGTAACATGAGGAATGGTGATCAGTGAACTTCGAACAAATGATTAGAACTAAATATAATGACTAAAAATACTACCTGGTCTTGATAGGGAAGACCACTGGTAATATGCAAGAACAATTTCAGTGGAAATCAAAACAGACTGCAAAGGCTAGAAAGTGAAAAAGTAGAACATAGTCTCCACTTCCGTAATGCCCAACTATGACACAGAGGAAGGGCTCTGGATCCAGAGTCTAGTGAGACAGGATCTATTTACTCTGGAATGGAAGCAGGTTACTCCAGACTCTGAGAGACAAGATAGTATGTAGGTACACTCTTCATCCTCAAGTGTCTCTCATTCTATCTAGATGCCTCTGCTAACCAGGCTTTAGCTGTTTCTTGTGTGCCAAAATACCTATGAATGACTATAGTCCAAGGGGTCTACAATGAAGAGTTATCAAACAAATGCGAGATTGCTATTTTTTCAGATATCACCTTGACAAAGATGATGCATATGCCAGAAAAGGAGGTATCAAGATAGAAAGAATATCCATAATCAAAGGGTCATAAGGAAAAAACAAAGAGAGAAAGAAGAAACAAAGATTTGCAAGAAAGCAGAAAGGAGAAGGAAGGAGAAAGAGGAGAAGAAACAAATGGAAGAAAGAGTAAGTGTCTGAACATTGGGAAGAAAGGGTCAAGTGCTCATATATGCATGTGGAGTTGACCTGCAGCTGATCTGAAACCAAGGCAGGGAATCCTTGTTACTGTTCAGTCTTCCTAGGTAAAAGTTCTCTGCCTTGCCATTCTCAAACACTGTGACTACCTTCTACAAGCAAGAAATGTTTCATTAATCAAATAAAAGTGCATTTAATTTCTTGTTCTCTTGCCAATTTGAACTAGTTGACATTGACTCTTCTTACCCTCTTCAGCAAACTGATCGTTATCTCAACTGGAACAATCTTTCCTTCTTTAATGTACTTTTCAATGAGTTCACCATACTGTGAATCTGGGTTTTTCCTTTCATCACGAAGAAGTTCTCCTGCAGATAGATGTGTATAGCCGTATTTCTGAAAGAAACAACACATAGGAAAAAAAATTAAAACTCACTCAACCTAGTGGTAAGACTATATATTTTTGTGTCAATTTCTACAGTCTAAAATAAAGTTTTAAGGATTTTAAGGATGTCACAAAGCCCAATTTACTTATTATCCTTAATCTTCAAAAACACCATGAAATCAATCTAAAATTTATCTAAGTGTTCAAGGCATTAACATCCCATTATATTCTTTCACAACCAGGATCCAAGTCTAAGTATTACTACTACTATTCAAAGAAACAGAAGTCCAAGGTATGGGGAAGATGGAAATGGGAGGATACTAATTTGAAGCCGTCCTGGGGAAAGAAAAAGGAAAGCCAGACTGTATCTCAAGAAAACGATCCAAGAATGACTGAATACTTCTAATCCCAGTTATAGGAGGCAGCAGTCTAAGGAAGCCCAATCCAAAACAAGATTTCATCTGAAAAGTAAACTAAAAAGCAAAAAGGAGGCTGGGGGCATGGCTCAGGTGGTAGAGCACCTACCTGGCCAAGTTCAAACCACAGTGCCACATAGGAAAAGAATAAAAGTCTAACAAAAACCTTTATAACTCAAGACAAAAAAAAATCCTAAACTTTTAAAACTGCCAGCTATAACCAATGTCTATAACAGGAAATTCTGCTTTCTTAAACTAACATGTCTAAACTGAACTTACCAACACTCCCACAAAACCTCCTTTTTCATGTTTTCTTCTTTTTCTCGGTGAATAATGGAAATCCTACCTCCTCCATGAAATCAGCTTTCCTGATCACTTTGCTTTTTGTGTTTTGTTTTTGTTTTTTGCCGGTTGTGGGGCCTGAATTTTGGGCTTGGGCTCTGTCCCTCAGCTCTTCTCAGCTCAAGGCTAGCACTCTACCACTAGAGCCACAGCGCCACTTCCGGCTTTTTCTGCTTATGTGGTGCTGAGGAATCGAACCCAGGGCCTCTTGCATGCAAGGCAAGCATTCTACCGCTGAGCCACCTTCCCAGCCCCTCCTGATCACTTTGGACAATACTCATAAGCAAATGTATTTTAGAGTATCAATGACTCTCCACTTAAGACCAGTCTTTTAAAAATCCATTTCCTAACTTTCTACTAATGACAAGAAGTCTCATTTGTGAGCTGACACAGTGGTGCACAGATGTACTCCAGGCACTTAGAAGGTGAGGCAGGAGGATTGCAAGATCCAGGCTAGTCTGTCCTACAAAGTGAGACCCAGTCAAAAAAAAAAAAATACAAGTCTCATTTGTAAAATGGCAACACAGATACCTATTTTGTAAGTCTGTGGGTTTGATTAAAAATTACCTACAACAGGGCTGGGAATGTGGCTTAGTGGTAGAGTGCTTGCCTAACATGCATAAGGTCCTGGGTTTGATTCCTCAGTACCACATAAAAATAAAAAGCCAGAATTGGTGCTGTGGCTCAAAGTGCTAGACTGCTAGCCTTGAGCAAAAAAGCAGCTCAGGGACAGTGCCTAGGCCCCGAGTTCAGTCCCCAGGACTGGCAAAAAACAAAACAAACAAAAAAACTACCGACAACAGCACCTAACACATAGTATGTAACAAAAGCTATCAATTATCTCTTTGCTATCAGGAAAATATTTATCATAAATGACCACAGTTTTTTTTTTGTTGTTGTTGTTGGTCATGGGGCTTGAACCTGACTATGCATTTCTCAGAGAGCAATGTGTGATTTACTGGCAAGGATATCTTGTAGTCACGGGCAATTTTGTTCTTGGGTGACCATCACAGTCTATGCTCCATCAGTTATTAGGCAATACAATATTTTGGGACCAAGTTAATATATGCAGCTGGCCACTGGCTGAAGTGTTACTTGTAGTGCATGCCTGTAAATATACATACACTTTAATGGTTTTGGTAGAAAACCCTATCAAGAGATATCAAGTGAGATACGAAAGATCAGCAATGTATTGTTGTGGTAGTGATAATCATTACCATTAAGGCAATGCCATTCGAAATGCCATGCTTGGCCAGGGTTGAGGGTAATAGTTAAGTCATATATGACACAACGGTACTATATTGCCATTTCTCCTTGGATGCAATGAGAAAACAATACAGTACTTTTAAGGGTATTTTTGTTTGTTTTGTCGATTGTGAGGCTTGAACTCAGGGCCTGGGTGATATCCCTAAGCCTCTTTGTGCTCAAGGCTAGTGCTCTACCACTTGAGCCACAGTGTCACTGAGAAAACAATATAGTACAAATGAGAATTTTAAATTAAAAGTTTCTTCCTCCATATGAACTTCCTTTACCTAAATTAAATCCATTTTTAAACTTTTTATTCTGAAGTCATGAGTATATCCAATGTTCAGTTACAATAATCAATTTATCCCAAATTTGAAAGACTACCTCAGTGAGGTCTTATTTTTCTATACTTAGTATGTAAATGTTATCTTTAATTCAATTTTGAAATTCTAGAAAGCTGGTTATATAGTAAGAACTGGCTCCCCATTGCTCCCCCCAAAAAGGTGTTTTGGCTCCAATTGCTCCTTTTATGAATATTAACTCTTCCAATTATCTGGCTTTCTTATTTCTTATGATGAGCTTTCTTATTTTGGGCTACAGAAGCCATACATTTCTTTCCTTTCTTTTTAAATTTTGGTCATGAGGCTTGAACTCTGGGTGCTGTCCCTCAGCTCCTTAGCTCAAGGTGAGCGCTCTACCACTTGAGCCACCACACCACTTCCAGTTTTCTGAGTGGCTTATTGGAGAAGAGTCTCATGGACTTTCCTTCCCAGACTGGCTTTGAACTTCAATCCTCAGATCTCAGCCTCCTAAGTAGGTAGGATCACAGGTATAAGCCACCAGAGCCCGTTGAAGCCAAACATTTCTATCCCTTTCTATTTCCCAAAATTGTTGGTTAAGCTCATTTTCACTTATTAAATTGTAAGCTATTGTAAGGTAGTCAGGAAGGAAAAACAAACCCTAAACAGATTATTTGATGACTGAATTTGGGTATAAAGTTGGATGAGACTAAGCAAAAACCATCATATAATCTATGTTTTAGCCATATAAAATCCTTCCACCAAAAGAAATTGCTGAAAGCCTATTTAATTATTGTAACAGGTTTTAAAGGAAAACTCCCATACTTACAGAAAATAGAAGTATATACAAATTTATTCAAACTGGTATTTTACAATTCTTTCTATACCAACTATAAATCCCTACTTTGATCACTAAGTATAGGCAAACTTCTGAGAGATGGGTACAGAAAGGACATTATAAAACAATGAAATTTGACTTATTTTCCCACTTACTACATACCATTTTCAAAAAGCATTTTACAACTACTGTCCAAAAAATTTTACAGCAGCTTCATTTCCCACTGTTTATTTTGGCTCCTACTTGGAAGTCTCTGCTTGCTGGATGCTCAACTCTGGTCTAATGATTACAGCATATGGTGATATTAAATAAATGCAGAGACAAACAGAACTAAATAATGACAAGCACTCAGTGAAAATGCCAGCCATATACATTACTCGGTAATGCTCTGCTGTATGAACAACATATACATAAGAAGCCCAGCTAGCAATTTAGAAATTAGTATATTTACTGTTCATTTCCTGATACTCAAGAGCTCAAATTTGCAAGCTTTATTTTACATTAAAATGGGGTTTGGCATTATATAACTTAGAAAAAAATAAAAAGTAGTTTAAACTGTAGATACATAAAAATGATATATTTAAACAATTTTATAGTTTGTCAAGAAGAAAAAACACTTTACCTACAAAGTCAAAGGAAACAAAGGATGTAAATAAACACAATCATGTCTTTTTTTTTTTTGGGGGGGGTCTGGTCATGGGGCCTGAACTCTGGGCCTGGGCGCTGTCCCTCAGCTCTTTAGCTCAAGGCTAGCGCTTTACCACTTGAGCCACAGCGCCACTTCCGGCTTTTTTCTTTTTGCTTATGTGGTGCTGAGGAATTGAACCCAGGGCATCTGGCATGCAAGGCAAGCGCTCTACCACTGAGCCACCTTCCCAGCCCCAAACACAATCATGTCTAACCTATACATTTATCTTTCAATTTCTCATCCACATTCCATTTTTAAAAATCCTTTAATTGCTATTTGCTTTTTCATGCTGTATTTTCCTAAGGATTTTGCTGAAGCTTTCCTCCTACCACACAGAATTTTAACAGCAAGAAAAAGATAACTATCACATACTAGTTATTAAGGCATCTTATTAGTAACTAGACTTCTTAGCACATTTTCAAAACATTCTGCTGTTCTTAAGTAATCATTGATGCCAGTTCTGAAGAATAGAATAGGTATTTTCCAACCTTAACCAAAACTTCTTCACATTCTCTGAGATTTCTCAGTAATTAAAACCTAGTAAGTCACCAACTGCAATGAAGATCAACATTCACAACCATAGCAGCTTATAATTATAATTACACACTACTATCTAAACAAAAAGGTTTCTAGTTACTCCAAGTAACTGTGTAAAGTTCTCACTTTCATTTTCTCTTTATGAAGTTGAAAAACAAATCAACAACCTTTATGAATCATTACACTAAGATTTACAGGGAGAAAAAGAACACACAACAGCATTATATTTACTGTAAGTAGGAAAATACTATCCGTTCTATGGCATCAGCTCAAACACTGGAGCAATTTTCCTCACTGCCTAGCAATTGCCTTTCTTTTCTTCTAAATTTTGATAATGTGAGAAGTAGGAATGTTCCTCAGGGTAGAACACTTGTGTAATATAAGCAAAGTCTTTGGTTCAGCCTCAAGCACTGCAATATAAAAGAATGAAAAAGAATTAGATAATGTGATTTGATGTAAATAACAACAAAAACAATCAAAACAAAAAAAAGCACACAAAACAGAATTCACAGTACAAAAATGCATACGTGGCAAGTCCTTGAAGGCAGAAAGAGATCCAGATGCCTGGCAGAAAGAAATCCAGATGCTAAGCAACTCTTCTGGCTATACCCCAGCAGAAATGAGGTTGCAGGGGAACACAGCAAGT